ACGGCACATCCAACGTGCTGAATAGTCATTTTTATTTTTAATTCTATTTTATTGCTTCTTTTATTTCATACTTTCCATTTTATTGCCATTTGGGTTTTATTGTCGGGAGCCAGCATCTATGGGAACATGGAAAAGTGGGGCTGGCATGTCTAGCTCTGCTTTTAGCCCTTAGGCATTCAGGCAAATGTCTGACTAAAGCTTGTGCCCGGTAGAGTACAGGATGCCCACATCCCCACACACCAGCTAGGGAATCTGCCGCAACCTTCTGCACCATCTGAAGCTTCTGAATGAATGTCAAGGGCAGCCCCCTTAATTTTACAAGTCAGGTTGCATTAATCAGTCCTGGAATTTACAGAGGTGTGGATCAGTGTAATGTGGTCCAGCATGTCTAAGAGAGGAAAACAGTGATGGGGCTGCATATTCACCCTGGGAACCTACCTTGTACCTTCTACTGAGTTAGATCATTGGCCTATTCAGCTCAATATTGTCCAATCAACACTGATCAGCAATAGCTGACCAGGGTTGTAGGCGGGAGTCTTTCCCAGCCCTACCTGGAGAGGCTGAGGAAGGATGGAGAATCTGTGGCTCTCCAAATATTGTTGGACTTCAACTCCCATCAGCCCAGCTACCAATGGTCAGGTATGATGGAAACTGTAGCTCAACAACATCTAGGGTAGTCACCCCTGCCCTACTACACATGTTGCTGACTTAATGCAATATATCTACTAGCCAGATGGGCGGGCTATAAATATTTAAAATGTTGTTGTTGTTGTTGTTGTTGTTGTTGTGTTTCCTTTTTCTGAAGGGACAAGGAAATCAGAATGACTTTATCAACTGCAGCTCCTTTCTGAGAAAGCAGCTTTCTGCATAATTCATCTTTATTTTTCTCATATTTTGAGTAATCTTCCTCTACCTAGATCAGTTGAGTAAACCCAACCCATAAAATAAAAAGGAAACAATGAACTGCAGCATAGGTAGGTTAAAATGTGTAACTTTTGGAGGTAAATGTTACTAAGGAATATACAGCTTTTAGACTTTGTGTGAGGATTTTGGTAGACCACAATATTATGCAAAAACGACATGATCAAAAATAAAACATTGTTCCAAGCAAGAGTTTACACAATTAGCTAAAAGAATAACAACAACAGTCATAATCTCATTAGATGAATACCAGCAGATTGACATCTGATTTTTTTTTAGTTTTTAAAAAACTTTTGCAGCAAGCCTGGGAAATATTAAGGTGATGTGTAAGAGGCAGCAGCCTTGCTGAGCTGATAGCAGATCGTGCTACAGATTAAAACCATAGACAGCTGCATTTCCGACACTTGCCAAGGCCAGCCTTACCATGAGGCAAATTTTAGGAGCAGTTTGTGGTAATCTTTGCAATAGGTGGTACATTTGCTGCTGTGGATTATCCTGTTGCACAAGACTGTGATCCCGATAACGGACAGTAACAATGACTGTTCCCCCACCCACCCAGGGCAAGTGTGAACAAAAATTGCATCTGGTTAAGCAATGTGTTGAGTAGCTACATTTTAACTCCTGCTACTGTTGTGGGGCGGGAAAGCGGGGGTAAAATCCTGTCAATTTGTGTCAAGAGATTCCGGTCATATATTTTTGTGCTTTTATATTGCATATTGTGTTTTCCTATTGTAAACCATCCTGTAATCTTCGGATGAAGAGTGGTATAGAAATTTAATTTATTATTATTAATAATATTATTATACTATAATTTAATAATAATAATAATAATAATAATAATAATAATACTTGGAGAGCAGAGGATAGCAGGCAGTGATAGCAAGGACCCAGGAGGCTCCAGATAATGATGGGGGAGGGGGCTCTGTCAGGGGCGGAAGAATGGGGCAGTGGGGACGGTTCGCACCAGGTGTCTTCACTGAGGGGCGACATTCGGTGTGCCCCCCCCATGACTCCCAGGCCTATGCTGAGCTGTTGGGGGAAGGGGCGGAGCTGCACTGCCTTGCCAGCAACCTTTCCCCCTTCGTTTTGACAGCTCAGGAGAGGCTTGCGAGTCACAGGCATGCAGCAGGCTGTTGTCCCCCACTCCCGGGCTGCTTCCGGGGGGGGGGGAGCCTCCCGCGAGCTGTCAAAAGGAAGAGGGAAGGGAGGAAGGCTGCTGGCAAAGCAGCATGGCTCCCCCCCCCCACAGGAAGCAGCCTGCCATGGGCAGCTCGCTCTGCCCCATGGCCCTGCCCCCGGGAGCACAGCATGCCCGCCACTCCGGGTGCCAGAGCAACTAGCTCTGCCTCTGGCCTCTGAACAGGGGTGTGTGTGTGGGCAGCTGCTCAGCAATGCCTATCCCAGGGGTCAGCAACCTTTTTCAGCCGTGCACTGGTCCACTGTCCCTCAGACCATGTGGTAGGCTGGACTATATTTTGAAAAAATTGCCCCACAAATAACCCAGAGATTAAATAAAAGGACACATTCTACTCATGTAAAGACACGCTGATTCCTGGATCATCCACAGGCCGGATTGAGAAGGCGATTGGGCCACATCCAGCCCGCGGGCCTTAGGTTGCCCACCCCTGGCCTATCCTAATGGTCACCCCGGGACCACTCTCAACAGGAATTCATCATGTCACCATGCAATCATGGTAAAGGAGGCAGGAAACATTAAATAAAAACAAACCAAAGGGGAACCAAAACAAAAGTCCCTATTTATATGTTAACCCAATGTAGTTTGTGCAACAGGGAAGGGGTATGCTTAGGATCATTGGATTTAGATAACTGTGCTGAAAATGCCACACATTGTTTATGAAATTCATATTCCGTCCTTCCTCCCAAAGGAGCCTAGGGCAGCAAACACGAAAGTGCTCTGACAACACAATACAATTAAAAATCAAATGAAACAAAAGTATACAGTGGTATCTCAGGTTAAGTACTTAATTCGTTCCGGAGGTCCGTACTTAACCTGAAACTGTTCTTAACCTGAAGCACCACTTTAGCTAATGGGGCCTCCTGCTGCCGCTGCGCTGCCGGAGCATGATTTCTGTTCTCATCCTGAAGCAAAGTTCTTAACCCGAGGTAATATTTCTGGGTTAGCGGAGTCTGTAACCTGAAGCGTATGTAACCTGAAGCGTATGTAACCTGAGGTACCACTGTATTTTAAAAATTTAAAGATACCTAAACACACATGCCTCAAAAGTTGCAAAACCTAATTTCCTAATCTTTAGTCATTTAAATTATTGATTTAGCTATTTCCCAAATCCCAACAACTGCTGTTCTTAGCTTTTAAGAAACAGTAGGGAGAGTGACAGGCATGAACAGGCATAGGTGAAGCTCCTGCCCACACAAGGCGTCCCACAGGGCCGGCCCAGCACGTTTTGCTGCTGAGAGAAAATGGAAGGTGCCACCACCTTCCCTGCCACCTCTGCCACTGCCCCCAAGAAAAAGGTGGGGGGAAGGAGGCTGGCTAGGGGTGGGGAATCAGTGGCATGGAGAAAGAAGAGGAGGAGGCAGGCGGTGAGGAGGGGGGAGTCAGCAGCAGCATGGAGAATGCATTGGTGGCATTTGTGTCAGGGGTGGGGGCGGCAAGCAGCACACCACTTGCGGGCCTAGATCTGCTGCTTCTCCCAATGGTCCTATGCCTGCCACACTGAGGGAACTGCTTCACCTTGCCTCATGGGTGGGCTGGCCCTGCTTCCTGACCACATATCTGAAATCCGAAGTGTTGCAGCATATAGCATACTTTTCTTTTTCTAAGTGAGTACTCAGGCAGTCACGATAGTGTACAGGGCTTGCAGCAGAAATGTAAGGCCACTTCTGTTTAGGAGGGAACGGGTAAGTCAGTGGCACTTTGAGATTTATTTAATCATCCAGTTTGCAATCTAGTGGGTGTCCAAACAACTACTTCACAGTTCATAAAAAAACTACAAAAAGGGGGCACAGGGATCTTATTACATTTATATTTTAAAAAACAAAAACAAAAGTAGACTTTCACTGATAGCTGTCTACTCCAGTGAAATTCCTTATGTACCATTTCAAGCACTGTAGCGCTCTTGCATCTTGCTGCCATTTATGGTCTACATTTGAGTGTGTTTTATTAGAAAACTGCTACCTCACAATGCTGCAACCTATTATGATAGTAAAGGGATGTGGGTGGATGTTTAACTCCTGCAGTTCCAGGAGAGGAACAAGCAGCAGCTGGTCTCCCAATGGATTGAACTCTTCACTAGGTAATCCTTGGTGGCTGCCTGAGACAGCAAAAACAGGAATTTCACGACTAAGTTGCTAATGCTCAGCTGTGTACTATACGACTACTTCTTTTATAAATATGGGACACAACTACCCAGTTTGCTCAGTTTATTTTGTGCTCTCCCCTTCCTCCATTGCATGGAACTTGTGTGGAACTGCATGGAATTTGCCTGAATCAAACCATGCACATTGCAAAAGGGAGTTCTGGAAAAGCAGGGGAAACTCTGGCCATCACCCACATACATAAGGCAAAGTACTTTGCATATCTCTTAGGCGCACACTTCTTAATGTTGGGAAAGTGGCAGCCTGCCAATCAGAATTAGATATATGCTGCCCACACTGCAAGGTATGTATAAAAAGGCTCAAGTTACACTGATACGTGGCAATCTCTCCCGTGCTATTGTGCTCAGGTTATCCTACGTGGAATAGGTCATGTAAACTAAAGTTTCAGAATCAATGGCTCCACTGTTACGTTCCCTGCTGCTTGTCAAACATTCTTGCTTGCCATGCAGGAAACCACACCAATGCCAGGAGAGCTCAGGGAATGCTGAGACGGTTGTGCACAGGAGAGAGAAGTGTGCTAATCTTTAGCAACACTTAGGACATTTTAAGTTTCCACCTTCCTGTCCCAACTCCAAGCTCCCAGAACTAGCAAACACCTCCTCTTGCACATTTTGGCAGGCAATGACCGCTATTGCTCCTTTTTCCCCACTTCCAACTCCAGTTTACCAACTCTAGTTGCCCTGGTGACCAAAATGTTTCCCATCAAGAGACTGAAAAAAAATCAAGTAACCATACATTTTATTGGAAAATTATTTTTTTCCTGCAACAAACAAGTAGTATTTGAAAGCACACTAAAAAAACAACAAGAGGTTTCTCAAAATCTGACACCTCTTCTCTGTGCAAGCAAGCTGCTACAACTTGGAAGGGTGGGAACTGGCTTGTAGGAACTGGATGTCTGTGATCTATTTATTCCTCTCTGCAGCACGTCCAAGTGTTCCCTAGTACATGCTTCCTTGCTGATCATATGAGCAAACTGCTACAGAAGTTGAGCTGAGAGATCTTGTTTCTCCCTCTAGTGTTCAAAGCTGGATCTTGGAGTGCCAGGTAATTTTCGTCCCTCCATTTTATCAACAGTGTTCATGGTGGGGAAAAATGGCTGAATGAGAATACAGTGGTACCTTGGGTTAAGAACTTAATTCGTTCTGTAGGTTCGTTCTCAACCTGAAACTGTTCTTAACCTGAAGCACCACTTTAGCTAATGGGGCCTCCCGCTGCTGCCGGAGCACGATTTCTGTTCTCATCCTGAAGCAAAGTTCTTAACCCGAGGTACTATTTCTGGGTTAGCGGAGTCTGTAACCTGAAGCGTCTGTAACCTGAAGCATATGTAACCCGAGGTACCACTGTATTTCAATTTTGAAATACAATTTTGAATTGTATTGCTTCTTCTCCAGTAGAGGATATTCGCTGTGGGATATGATGTGCACTTTCGTAAAGGTGGCTGTTCCTTTATTATCTGCAGGCTCTCAAATCCCTCCCACCACCTTTGTTCCTCACTCTTGCCTACTGCCTTGTTGTGTCAGACGTAATGCTGGCTTACTTGTATTCCTTTCCTCACACTGTGCCACCAACATGCAAACCACACTTTGGGTGTCTCCTGTTGTAATGTTTAGCTTCTAAGAGGCAGGCAGTCAAGCTGGTCTATGTACCTCTTTGCCACTTTTTTTATTTTTAATGGTGGAGTGGGCACTTGTGCTACTTCCCTCCTACTATGACAGCCCAGTGTCTCTTAGTTAAAGATCTGCCCAGTATTCAGCACAGAACAGCAGAAAAATGAGTTTACCTAATTTTGGAACTGCCTGTTTCACAGAATGAGCACTGTCAGGCTTGCAGATCCCCTTCCCTCCTTCCACAACACTGGCTTGGTCTTCCCCTCTCCTATTGCATCTTCCCACCTCCCACAGAGAAAGAGGTGGAAAAGACCCACAAGAAGTCACATCTCATTTCCTTTTATTATAAAAAGTGTACTTTATTTACAGTCATAATCATAGAATTTTGCATATCAATTGGCCTGGCCCCATTTGACAAAAACGCAAAGGGGTAGCAGGGAAGTGTTTTGTTTTGGTTTTTTAAATGCCCCAATACAGAGCGTCTTTCTCTTTTAACTCCCTTCTCCATCCATCCCCCAAATTAACTGGGAGTTGAAGGCATGTGGGATGTAGCTGCATTCTTCCTGATTATGCCATCATAAAAAAATACACAATGAGTCTTACATAAACGCTGTAATCTCTTTTGACCGCATAAATTTTGTTCTTTGCATCTGAGCAGCTTCTCTGAGCATATTCCATAAAAATGACAAATTCAGCCAGAGTGCTTCCTTCCCCCTCCCCACCCCCAGTCAAAATCTAAATTTTCCCTCCTCTGCTGCCCCTGTGGGTGCTGCTGCTTGGGGGAATTGCCTCACCTTGCCTCCTGGGGGGGGGGGGGGCTAACCCTGCCTCTCCCAGTGATAATCTTTAATAATAATGGTGTGTCCAAAGGGTCTGGTTAAAACCATTGACCAGAGTTGCTGCAGTTTCCTTGGGCAGGAAATAAAAAGGATCCCATAGGATCTATGACAGACCGGAGTATCACCACGCAGGGGACAGAGATGGCTATTTGCCCACATACATCAGAGGCAAGTGTGAGACACAAATTCAACAAATCCTACTGTTAAGTTGTGGCCCAGGGTGAGAACTTCAGTACATAACACCTACTATCTTCACAGGTTGCCACCATAGCAAGTTTATCCACACACCTTTGTGGTAAGTTGTGACTTGACCATTGGTCCATTTGGGGGGGACAGTCAAGAGATTGGGGAGTTTTCAATACACTGAAGCATACATTCATACCACCACAACCCACCCCAGCTACCCAGGCGGTGTGGCTCCCGAGATCCACTCGGACAAACGGCGGTGAAAAAGAGAACGTAACGAGATGACATTCAGCCCAGCCACAGAAAGAAAAGAAAAGCCCAGGCAGGTCAGGCGATGCTGCTACAAAACTCGTGAAAGTCTCTTTCCATGAAGATCTCGCTTTCGATGACATCGTCCTCGGAGGGGAAGTACTGCAAGCTCTCCTCTTGCAGCGCGCCCTCCAGGGATCCTCCGGAGAAGCGCAGCCCGGGCGCCTGCGGCGGGAGGCAGCCGTCGTCGGGGGGCGGCAGCAGCGCCGCTGTCGTCGGGGCCCGGGCGGGGGAGGGCGACCCGTCGGCGCTCGGGCAGTCCATGAGCGCCCCGCGCGCGTTCTCCAGCACGCCCAGGTACGAGTCCATGTCGAGCGGGTCCATCTCGCAGTCCGAGCCGCCGCTCTCGGTGCCCACCGAGTCCGAGCGGAGGTGCATGAGCTGGTACTTCTCGCGCATCAGGAACTGGTTGGTGTTGCGCGGCGCCCGCATGCCCGGCGCCCGCTTGCCCATCATGTTGACCGGGCGCAGAGACAGCAGCACCCGCGGCCGCGTGGGCCGGTAGCAGCGGGGCCAAACCTTGGCTTGCTGCTGCTGCTGCTGGTAATAGTGCTGGCGTCCGTGCGCCCTCGAGGAACTGGGGTTCCTGCCCCGCCTCCGGTGGTGCCAGCTGGGCCTGCCGCGGCCGAAGACCCTCCGCGGCTGCCCCCTCTCCTTCAGCGGCTGCAAGCGGGAGAACGCCCCTTCCGGCACCTCTTCGCCTCTCCCGGCCTGGGGGGGATCCCAGCAGCGGACCCCCTTGCCGCACATCAGCAGCTCTTGCCTTCTCAGCATAGCAAAGGACACTCCTCTCGCATACTCCCGGGGCAGCTGCCAAGCAACCCCCCCAAAAGCAGCAGCCCTCCTCGCCTCCTCCTTTCCCCTCTCTCGCTGCTTACTTCTCGGGTCGGTTTCTCCGGGCGCCCTTCAAACCTCCAGATACCCCCGCACTGGGCTCTCCTCGCCTAGCTTCTACCTTTTCACAATCCGCTCCGTTTTTTTCTTGACCAGAGCCTTTTTGCAGCGCATAGCCCGGCCGGGAGGCTGCAGGCTGAGGGGCAGCTTGACCACCTCGAAGGCTAGCTGCTGCTGCTCAGAGCTGCTAGGTGGGTCCGGGGGTGTTTTGCTCAAGTCCAAGACCCCCTTTCTCTACAGGAACTGGATTTTGGTGCCTGAGACGGTGGGGAAAGGAGAGGGGGGTGAGGAGGAGTGAAGCGCCACTGGGCTGTACCTACAAGTTCCGCTCAGCTCAAAGCGCTCAAAAAATAAAGCACATACCGATCTCTCCCTACTCGTTTCAGGGTCTGTGTGTTTGAACGCTTCGCCTCGCCCACTTATATATATAGTTTGGAACGATCCAATGGCGGCCACTGGAGGGGGGATGAGCCGTTTCCCACATTATCTACACAAATATTCCCACAAATATTTCCAGAGCCTTAACTGGAGGGACACAAATAAAACGCAAAAATTAGACAATCTGAGGGGAGGAGGGAAGATGCTGCTGTGAGGTTCATTTCCCCATTTTTATTTTTTTTGTGTTTGTGTGAGGGTGTATATCTAGATCTATGTTGGTTTGGTCCAAATCGCAAGGCAAGTCTTTTTCTCCTGAGCTCCTATGCACAAACCATACTTACGCTTGCGTTTTCTTCCTGGAGTCGCGTCTTCGAGGTCTCTTCCGTAAAGTGCTTAGCTGTCCGTAGAAGCGCGAGCGAGTGGGGTAGGCGCGTAAAATGGCTCAAAGTGGGTCGCTGAACCCGGCGTACGCGAAAGGAGTATATATATCTACAGTACTCAGTTGCTTCTTAACTCTATTTCCTTGCTCAGTTTAATTCCTTCCTGCCTTTTAGCCTCATATCAATGGACCTCTCCACCACCCACCCAACCCCCATGTCAGCTGGCAGACGATTCCGCCATCCTGTCTCCTTGCCAGGGCAGAGAAAATGGTGGACTGTGTTCCTTGAAGGTGGACATATTTGTTTGGACGTTTCCACTTGCACCCCGATTTGGAAGCAAACCCCTTTTAGATCAGCGGAGCTCACAAGGAAACATGTTTAGGGACTTAGGGGAGACCGATCTGCTCTCTTTCCAGAAACATGAAGCAGCCCCGGCGGGGAAGCCGCTTCCACAGGTGCTTTCTGAAATAGACGGTGCTTCCCTCCCTCACCAATGAAACATTTTCTCATAAACTGTCAGGCTAAGACTGCAAACCTATGCGCACTTGCTAGAAGTGAGGGTAAACCTCACTGAACACGGGATATTTATTCTACGTAAACAAGACGCTGAGATTGGACGGCACGGGGTACATTTTCGGGGGCAGTTCAGTTTAAGAACAGCGAGCAGTGCGGCTCATCTATCATCGCTAAGGTCAAGTTAATGTTACTTTTTAAGAATGCGCGTTGTTGTTCTTCTTAAAATGATTGCTATATAGTACAGTACAGTACTGTGTAGTAAATTCCTTGCAATGGCGGCGGGTGGCAACGAGAAGCCGTGGAAGATGGTGTACTAGGAGGAAGAGGATGGGTCAAACGTTTCCCTATTTACAAGAGTGCAGCAGCGCCAGCACGAATCGAAGGGGACGCGCGCGCAGCCAGCTCTTCTGGCCTTGTTTATAATCGTCACGTGGAGCAGTTCTTGCACACACACACCCCCCGAGAAGATGAGTAAACAAACAGAACTGTCTCACTAAGAGATTTCAAAAATAGGAGTTTATGCCTTGTTGTGTTCCTTTACTTATTTTCTCCCAGTTCAGCTTGGATTTTTCAATGTGGATTTAATTTATTTTTTTTGCAGATATTTCAGTGGGATGGGAGGGTCTTGATGATGATTTAGATTCACTACTTTTTGCTGGGTGCACTAATGCACACCTTGTTTCTTAATGGTAAACGACCACTTTAAAATCTTGGGCTTTGCACTTATGGAAAGCAGGAGGACCATAATAGCTGCAGGGGATATGTGAGGATCTGGCTCACTATCCTAATTATTCAGCCCCCCCGCCTTTTTTTTTTAAAAAGGAAAACTATCCCATTACAAATTGATATATGGCAAAATGTAAAGTTCATATGCTACCCACTGGCTCTCAGCCAAACTCTAGTTGTCTTAAATGTGCCTTAGCGCCCTTCCAGATGTTTTTTGTGTAGCTCTATAGCTTCTGGGTCCCCCCCCAGACTTATCCCCATACTCCCACATATCATTATCATTCCATCGCTATTCTGGAACACTGCATCCACCAAACCACTTTTAATTCAATTGCAAAAAGATCTGGCATTTGTAAAATATCCAAAATAGTTCTGAAATGTTTGCGTTGTGTGGAAGTTTTGTGCAATTGCCCACATTTTGCATGGCTGATTGGTGTGTGTAGTTTGAGCAGCTCTGTTTTGCCCCTTCCCCTCCATCAGACTTTTTGCACAGGAAGTTATATGTAGCTCTGACCAAAACAGTGAACTGGAGAAGTTATTGCTGTCTGATCTCCTAATCTCCATCATGCTGGAATAGCAAGGATTAAACCCCACACCCCATCCACACTCATAACTCATTTACTGGTTGAAGGGGCAAATACATTTACTTATAATTATCACGATACGTAAGAGGTGGAATTATTACTTGTGTTGGTAGGTCAATACCGGGTTAGTGGAGGAGCAGGGATCCCCCAAATTTGTGGGTACCAGATTTTTCCTTCTAGTTTCTTGGGTGCTGGGGTTTAATCAGAGCTTTGACAATTAAGGTGAGCTGACAGGCTGAGCTTGTTTTGCTGCAAGATAGAGAGGCAGAGGGAGATGATGGCCCTGCCACTACCCCATCGCAAAAGCCATCTAGAAGACAAAAGACCCTACAAGGGCAACATGAGTGTGATGTCACACAGGGAAAAAATTGTCCTTTTATGCAGAGGTTTTGGGGCAAGGTGTTCTGGGAACAAGGAGGAGGAATGTAGGCAAAACTCCATGTGGCACTGGCTAGAGGAGGCTGCACTGTGAGACTGGAGGCCATGATTGGCTGTTGCTACTTTGGCCCCAAGCTTGCTGAAGCTGTGAGAGGAGCAATGAGGGACACTCTTTGAACATAATGTTCTGCACCCCCGCCATTGAAGGCTTCAAGTGTAAATATGTATGAATAAAGCATATTTCTAAGACTCTGCAGAATCTGCTGTGCCTTGGTTTTCCAACAGAAACCCAACCTTCGGTGAGCGCCTGGAACCCCCTGGCATCCAGCTACTGCTCGGCAGAGATTGGCTGTGGTGTGCAGCTATGGGCTGGATTCCAGTAACTGGCCTGCACAATGACTTCCGTTAGTGTAATGGAACTTGCCCCCTCTCTTCCCTCCGTGCCCCTGCACTCCTACCCCCAATATATTGTCTCAGGGGTGTGCTTGGGAGAACCCTCAGAATATGCAGGGGAATGAGAGGGGAGAGAGTTGGTCAGGCAAGCAGAAATTCTTGTGATTTTGGAAACTGAAATATACTCAGAGTCTCAAAGTGATTTCAGGCTCTTTATTCAGCTCATAGTGGTGAGGAGGAATGAATGGAAGTTCCCTCACAGTATCTGCTTTATATACATTATTTACACAATGGGCTGCACATGATTGGCTAATTCCGGAATTCTACTGTAAGCCAATCAGGTTGTGGATTCACTTCTATCTGGAGCAGGATTGGGTGGTTCCTGCCAACCAATCATACTGCTGCATTGTTCTAGGACCAATCAGACTGCTGCATTTTGGATCCTATTGTTCTAGGACCAATCAGACTGCTGCAGTTTGGATCCTATTCAACTCAGTACATAACACCCCTCCCCTCTAAGTTCCAGTCCTGCCCGGGAGGTCGCATTCATAGTCCTCAAGGTATGCCGGCGGCCTACGTGTGCGTTGCGGCCTGGGGTGTTCCCTGGTCCGGGCTCCAGGTTCTGGCTCGTGTTCCAAGGATGCTGGCTGTGATGGGGCTGTTTGGTCTGGTGCAACCGGCTCGTTCAGTCGTGGTTCTGGTTCCGGTGTCCTTTCGGCCTCACGGGTCCTCTCTGTATTTACTGATTCTGCCTCTCCTGCTGGCCCCTCCTGCTCTATGGGCCTCACTGCCCCGCTGTTCGCTTGGGACTCCTCTGACCTGTCCTCCTCCTGGTTTTCTCTCGGGAATCGTCGCCGTACCTGGTCGCAGTGGCGGCGCCAGCATTGCCCCCCATCCGTTAGCACCTCGTACGACACGGGGCCAGTGACCCTGGTGACTGTGGCGGGTACCCATGCTGGGCCTGCCCCAAAATTCTTTGCGTACACTGGGTCCTGGGCCTCAAAGGTCCGGGGGTTCCTGCCTTCCCCACCACTACCTCATCCTGAGCTCTATCGGGGTGAAGGCGGTCCAATCTGATTGCAAGGCGCCGACCCATTAGTAGTTCAGCGGGGCTCCGGCCAGTCGTTGAGCTGGGGGTGCTGTGCTGTGCTAGAAGGAATGTGGCAAGGCGGTACTCCCAGTCCCCTTGCGTCATGCGGCGAAGGGTGTCCTTGGTGGTCCGCACCATGCGTTCTGCTTGGCCATTGGTGGCAGGGTGGAACGGCGCCGAACGGATGTGGCAGATGGCGTTCTGCGCTGTGAAGGTTTGGAATTCTCCTGACGTAAATGCAGTCCCGTTGTTTGAGACGAGAGTGTCAGGGAGCCCGTGGGTTGCAAACAGCCTGCGTAGTACCCGGATGGCTGCGGACGTGGAAGTGGACGGTACCAGTGCGACTTCCAGCCATTTGGTGTAGGAGTCCACCACTATGAAGAATGTTTTCCCCTGAAAGGGGCCAGTGAAATCCACATGCAGGCGTGACCATGGTGCTCGGGCGGACTCCCAGGACTGGACTGGGGCCCTTGGGGGATCTGGGCGGGATTCTTGGCAGGCCTGGCAGTGTTTGACCCAGGCCTCTATCTCTCCATCGATCCCCAGCCACCACACATAACTCCTGGCAAGGGCCTTCATTCTTACTACCCCTGGATGTGTCTTGTGTAGGACTGTGAGGACCCTTTTGCGGAGGGGCTGGGGAACAGCGACTCTGCTTCCCCATAACAGGCACCCCTTGTGGACCGACAGTTCATGTTTGCGGGTTGTATAGCCGGCGAATTCTGGCCCGGGGCTGCTGCTGGGCCATCCCCTCCACACCCAGTCCAGGACCCGGGAGATGACCCTATCTTTCTTGGAATGGTGTGCAACTTCTTGTGCCTGAATGGGGCGGTCGGGAAGCAGCTCCAGGCTCATAACCTCTTGTGCAGGTGCTGGGTCAGGGCCTGTTTCCGGTAGTGGTAGCCTGCTGAGGGCGTCCGCATGGCCCATCGCCTTCCCAGGTCGGTGAATCAGTGCATACTGGTAGCTGGCAAGGAAAATTGACCACCTGAGGACGCGAGGAGACAGCACTTGGGGGGTCTGCTTTTCGGGGGCAAACAAGCCAAGCAACGGCTTGTGGTCAGTCACCACGGTGAAGGGCCGCCCGTACAAGAAATCATGGAATTTTTTTACTCCCTTCATGATTGCCAGACCCTCCTTGTCGATTTGCGAGTAGTTCTGCTCGGTTGCGTTGAGTGTCTGGGAAAAGTACGCCACCGGTACTTCTCTTCCATCCGGGAGTTGGTCCCCCAGGACAGCGCCAATGCCATAGGGTGAGCTAGCACCACCGGCAGCCTCTCGTCGAAGTGTGCCAAGACCGAGTTTGAGACAAGCAAGTCCTTGACTGCCTGGAATGCGGCCTCCTGGCGCTGGCCCCACACCCAAGGGGCCTGCTTGTCCAGGAGTCTGTGTAGGGGCTCCACTACCGCCGCCTTGTGGGGAAGGAAGGAATGGTAAAAGTTCAATAGTCCCAAGAAGGCCTGAAGTTCAGTCTTGCTCTTGGGCGCTGGGGCATCACAAATGGCCCGTAACTTGTCCCCAGTCGGGTGGACCCCTTCTGCGTCCACCATAAATCCCAGAAAGTCCACCTGAGGCACTCCTAGTAGACATTTTTCCCGCTTCACCTTGAGACCCGCCGTCTGGAAACGGTGCAGAACAGTGCGGAGGCGGTCCTCAAACTCCTCTGGTGTGGGCCCGGCAATCAACACATCATCGAAGAAGGGAGTGACGCCAGGAATCCCTTTAAGGAGAGAGTCCATTAGATTCTGGAATATGCCTGGTGCCACGCTGACACCGAATTGCAGCCGCTTTACCCTGAACGCTCCTCTGTGCGTCACAATCGTCTGTGCCTCTGCTGTGGCCTCATCTACTGGCAGCTGTTGATATGCTTGGGCCAAGTCCAGCTTGCCAAAAATTTTCGACCCAGCCAGGGTGGCAAGGACATGGCTGACCACTGGCACTGGGTATGCGTGGGCCGTGAGGGCCTTGTTTATGGTACATTTGTAGTCTGCGCAGATGCGGACCGAACCATTAGGCTTGACAGGTGTGACGATTGGGGTTTCCCAGGGGGCATTAGGCACCGGCTCCAGCACTCCTTGCTCCACGAGTCGGTCCAATTCCTCGTCTATACGGGGTTTCAAGGCGAAAGGGACCCGGCGGGCCTTGAGCCTGACCGGTCGTACTGCGGGGTCAAGCTGTAGCGCAATGGGGGCCCCGTATACTGTCCCAATTTCCCATCGAAAACCCCTGGAAATTCCTTGCATATGGCGTCCACGTCCACTTGTAAGCTAGTGTGGTTCACCCCGGTGACAGCTAGCCCCAGTGGTCCAAACCATGCCAATCCCAGTAAGCTAATGTAGGGGCCCTTGACCACAAGCAAGTCCAGTTGCCGCGTCCGCCCTCGGTATTGCACCCTGAAGGTCCCCACCCCATTGTGGAGGACCTTACGTTTCTGGAAGTCCCGTAGGGTGAATGGGGCCGGCCTGAGTTTGGGACCCCCAGTAGGACACAGTTTCCTTAAGGTCCTTGCCGAGATTATGGATAGAGTTGAACCCGTGTCAAGCTCCATGCGGCATGGGGCCCCCTCTATCTGTACCTCTACATAAATTTTCTCTACGTTGGGGTGGGGCAACTGGTATACCTGGTAATCCGTGAGCACCGTTGAGTTGCCTTGGTGCGTTGGGCCCCGGGACCTGGGGCTCTTGGATTGGTCATCTGATGCCTGGTGTCGGGTGGGCCGAGCCCGACACACCCGGGCGATGTGTCCCGATTTTCTGCACTGCCTGCACTCTGCGTTGCGGAAACGGCAGGTCCTCCTCTCGTGACTCTCCCCACAGCTTGCGCAGTTCCCTCCTTCTCGTCGAGGCAGCTGTGGTCTGTGCGCTGCTTGAGTGCGCTGCTGTACTCGGTGCACCTCCTCCATGTCGGATCCTGAGTCGTCGGTGAGGTCTTCGTGGTGGACCCTCGGTTGGGATGGCAGGCTCGGCCGTGCCTCTTGCGTCGACCTCTCGGCAGCTTCCGTTGCCAGGGCCTTCTCCAGAGTGACCTGGAACGTTAGGTCCTTCTTAGCGTAGAGGCGTCGTTGCAGCTTCTCATCCTTCAGGCCACCGACGAGGCGGTCACGAAGCATGTTCTCCAGCTCTGAGAAGTTGCAGAACCGGGCGGCTTGGCGGAGAGAGGTCACAAACCCAGTTATGGTTTCCCCAGGGGCTTGCTGCTTTGCGTAGTAGGCATTTCGACGAGCCACCACTGAGGGCTGCAGCGAAAAGTGCCCCTTCAGCTGTTCCATTATTGTTTTGTATGGAACAGTAGCGACGTCTTCAGGCGCAAGGAGAGCCCGGGCGATTTCAAACGTCTCCTCTCCGCAGACGCTGAAGAATATCGCCCTCTTCTTGGCGTCTTCTTCGTCGGTGACCCCTTTGGCTTCTAGGAGGAAGGTGAAACGGGAGGCGTACGCTTCCCAGTCTCCAGATGCTGGGTTGAATGGCGAGAAGCTGCTGTTGGCTGCCATTCTGAGTTCCTTGTGTCCCGGAGCTGAAGCCTGGATACACGGTGCGAGGCAGCAGTGCGGCAGGTGGCGGTGCTGCAGTGCTGTGTGTGGCAGTCAGCTCAGTGGGATCCCACCCTCGTCGCCAGTGAAATATACTCAGAGTCGCAAAGTGATTTCAGGCTCTTTATTCAGCTCATAGTGGTGAGGAGGAATGAATGGAAGTTCCCTCACAGTATCTGCTTT